TTGATAAGTAGCAGCAACAGCAACCTGCTGAAGTTTGCTGTTTACATAACTACCTAGAAAGCAACTCGAACCTGTCCGGATTTTCTCCTAGCGTTAGCGATTGTGTGATCGACGTATGTATTATTGGATGTGAGGGCTATGAACGGGATTCAGTTCAATAATCAGGGCCATTAAGTATTTTTTCGAATGCGCTTGGAGTGATTTATAAAACGAGTTATATTTACAGAAACACTTACCAAATTTGTCCAGAAATTGTTTATGGTTGTGGACGATACAAAAGAAATGTAATCAGCTTCTCTGGCCCTCGCCACCTCGATATTAATGATTCGATGTTGCGCGGTATGCTGGTTTGTTTTGCTATATTCGGAGCCGATGTGATTGGCGTTTTTGCAATGATTGAAGTGATCTAACGTATTGGAGAAGCTTTATTTTAGCAGTGTTCCATGTGAAGTGATTTCTTTTTTTTTTCTTTTTTTCGGTTTCATTTTACACTGTCATTCCTCAAAATCTAAAATCCACACGCATGCTGCATATGTATGTTGTGGACTGGAAGGCGGTCATACATTCGATTGTTCTTTGGATCTCTACAGCCAAATAACCACGAGATCTCACCTCGACTAATTCCTTCCTCTTTTTTTTTTTCCTGAAATATTTTCTTCTCTTATACCCTGTTTTTTTTTTCCATTCTTTTGTAATTTTGAAGAAAACGCATTACGGATAGGTTATGTACATCCGTCCGTACATGTGTTTATTCCTAACAGTGGCAATATATAATTTGGAAACGTGACATCCGGGAAAAACTTCCAATTCACAGTTATCCAGAGCTGTACAGGCATCCACGAGATGTGGCATGCAAGAAAGAAAAAACGCATAATGCGCACCGGTCTCTTGCTGTGTAATTGTCTCTGTTTTCCCTCTGTAAATTATATTGGCAGTAGTTGTTTGTTGTTAGCATTCATGCAAACTGTAGAAGTTTTGCATCGATATCCTGTGTTTTTTTTTTTTTTTAAGACATCATTTTGAAGTATAACTTAATGACAAGAAATGATAAAAAAGATTTGGCAAGGATGCAGCTGT